ACCTAAATTGAGAAGCACTTGTCAAAATGCAGGTGCTGGCCACACTGCCAAAGCATCTGGCTCAGAAAGGCAGCCGGGTGACTCTGGAACCTGCGATCTGACACACACACTGACACACACCGCCTGCAGCTCACCCGTGCTCTTCACCACTGCCCCACATGGATGCCACAGGGGAAGCTTTAGAAAAGTTATATTCCCAAGATGCACCCTGATGAATCAGGCAGGGGCCCCTGGCAACGTGACCAGGTATCTATCGGTTTAAAAAACTGGTCCAAGACCAACTCACACCAAACTCAGCTCTACTGGTAACCCGGCAAGGCGTGACTGGTTTAACAAAAGAGAGAACAGATTGTGAATGCCCTGAGAGTACTGGGTCACCACCAACAAAGGACCCACGGCTTCTCCCAGCAATCGGAGCTGGGCCATTAATTCTCCTGTGCATCCAACCATCCCTCGACTCACTTTGCTAATGTACTTCACCATGCAGAAAGCTGCAAGACACACACCCGGCTCCTAGATTGCCAAGTGCTGCTTCTCAGACCTCTGCGGCCACGACGGTCATCACCTCCTGCCCCCACAACACCCTCCCTCTTGCCCCAGACTTCAATCTCTCCATAGAATTCGCAATTAATGCTGCGGTCTTGGGCCGGCAGCGAGTGCTCGGCGCGCCCTGCCTCCCGCTCACATGTCGTCTATCCAAACCCACCTGCAGGCTCCCCCGACAATGGCCACCTGAAGAGCACACACCCTGGCGGCTAAGCGGAGCTCTGAAATCCGAGCCCATGCACACAAAGGGCTGCACCCAAGACCACGAAGGTGGGCAGGACAGAAGTGGCCATCACTCCTGATACAGAGGCCCTGTACAGATAACCCCAGGAGACTGAATGCACAGTCCCAGGTACCAGCTCTAGTATGGGCACAAATCCAGGACAATCTCCCTGAAGGTCACCTGCTCGCAGAAAGCATAAAATCTGCAGTCTGACCCCGGAGGGCAGAAGCTACAATTCTCTGGCTTGCAGGGGTGAAGCTGCAGAAGAAGAAGATCTGCCTGGTTTTGGAAAGGGTGGGCTCCATATCCTAAGGCAATAAAAATGAAAAACCAAAGCAGAAGGCAGAGACCAGGCTTCGCCGGTACACGAGGTTCTTGGGCCTGCTCCGCTTGGGCAGGAGAGTGGTGATTCTGGGCAGACCCGCAAGCCAGCAGCGCACAGGGCACCCGTACAGCGGCCTTCTGACCCTGGGCCAGGACGGAGCCTCCAGCCCGGCCTCTTTGCAGAGAAAATATTCCATCTACCCTCTCTATACATTGAAATTCCATTTAACGCAACAACAAAGGATGCCCAGTAATAACTAAAGAGAAATCAGTGGCTCAGCATATGAGAGCGGGAGTGTTTGAAATCAGTTAGAAAGTGACTGCGTTATGAGCGCTCAGAGCTGCGGGCGTGGCGTGAGGGGGCGATCACGGTAGGTGTGGCCTATGAGGGGCTGCGGGGGTGGGCGCGATTCAGCTCCCCCCCTGCCCCGCCCCCTTGCTGGCTCCTTCCTGTGACCCACGCTGTGAGCGGCTCTCCTCCGCCAGGGTGCCCTCCTGCCGCCAGCTGACCAAGGCCGCAATCAACTCAGAGGCTGTGGGTGTCAGGTACTGTGCCCCAACAGCAAGGGAAATGACTCAGACAAGGAGTGACTGCAGAGACCCACGGGTGCCCCCATGGTCCAGCTGGGCAGGCTTGGGGATGCACCGTGCACAGACCCCACCGCGGGAGCCCATGCAGCCGTGAAGCCCGCCACGTTCACTTCTCACCCTCACTTCCCCACCTTCGCAGCTGCCCAGGCGCAGGTGCAGGGGGCAGCGGTGTCTGCTTCCCGCAGGGGTCACAAGTGTGCCCAGAACTGCTGTTTTCTGGCGACCTTTCCCTGGGACGCCTGCAGCCCTGTCCTGGCCCCTCCCCAGGCTGTGCCCTGCCATGCCAGGCCAACAGCGCGTCCCTGCTTCTGCTCCAAGTCCCCTTTCCTAGGAGGCCTTAAAGCACAGCTCTTGTGCCTCGCTCTCCTGAGCAGTGGGCCCCTTACAGGCCCGCCTTACTGCGTGCTGGACCCACGACGCACAAGCGCAGGCGCTACTGCCAGGAGACTCGGGGCCTTCGCAACTGAGGTCTTGTGGTGACAGAGAGTGGTGGGCAGCGTCATGTGGAGGGTTCCGGGAGGCCCACAGCAGCTGTGCCGGGCCAGCCCCGGGGCTGGGGTGTGAGAAGCAGGGCCGGGTTTCTCTTCTTTGTGGTGCACTATGCACGCACAGGGCAGCATCAGAAAGCTGTTCTCCGAAGCGCACAAGAACAGTGGCCTTCGCTGTAATCACAGGGACAAAGGACCGATCAACAGAAAATGGCCCCCTCCGCAGTGACACCTGACTCCTTAAATCAGGACACTTGTGAGGACACACTTGCCCCAAAGGCAGGCAAGCTTGTGAGTGCGTAGACAGCCAAGTGCCTTCTGCTGATGCCCGGTAAGCCCTGAGACACACACAGACACCCCCACCCCCACCGCGTCACTCCACGAAAGGCTTGTTTTCAAGAAACACACTCAGGCCCGGACACCGACTTTACACCCTTATGGAGCAGTGTGACGCCCACCACGGGCTGCTCTGCACCGTGCTGAGAGGACCTTGGAGGAAGGTTGGGAGCTATTTAGGGCACAGAGCACCCCAGTTTGGGCGACCACATGCGATGAAGCATGTGCAGCAAAGTGCCGAGGGAGCCAGGCAAGGCAGACCTGCAAGATTTCCATCCAGATGGAGCACACAAGAGGCTGTACGGCCCACTCCACTGCCACAGCACCCCGAGCCACGTGAGCGTCTCTGATCTGTCCCCAGATAACACCTGCTGGTTCCTACTGCAGGGTTAGGGTCATGGGCTGTGTGAAAGGACAGCGTGTGGCCCACAGAAATCGCAAAAGGACAAAAGGCATCACCTCTCCTGGTTCCACAAACCATGACTAGAACCAAGTGCTGCGGTTCAGGAGAAAACACAGAAAAATACTTAACCCAGTCACTGACTGGCCTGAACAGAGTCCCACTGCTCGGCAGAGGAGCCTGAGAAAACAGGCACCATGATCCTCTACTCAAAGCCAGCTGTTATTTTAAATACTTCTTTACCCTGAGAATGAACCATCAGCAACTCAGAAGGAATCGGCAGTGACGACAGGAAGCAAGCGGGGACGGAGCTCAAGTGAGAGCGGTGCTGCCCCTCGCAGCTCCCCTCTGGTTCTCACAGGCTTGTGGCCGCTGCCTCAGCTGAAACACGGTGTGTCCGCAGTCTCGTGGCTGCACAGGCCAAAGCACAGCAGGGGCAACTTGGAGGATGCCCCGCGCCTTGGATGCAGCAAGCCAGAGGTGCAGCCCGCACGCTCCACGGTGCTCCTTGGCGGGCACCTGCTTATGTGCGTATCTGTTTCATTCCACTGTTCATACTTACAGGTCACAAAGTGACATTTTGATGCATATGTGTACCAGAGATGACTGAACCAAGCTAATTAGCATGCTTGTCATTCACCTTTTCTGTATGGGCCGAGAACATTTGAAATCCACTCAGAAGCTTCAGGAACACAGAACACAGGTACTAACCAAGTCACTGTGCCATGTAGCGAGCCTCCAGGCCTTACTCCTGCCCTCTAGCTGAATCTGCTTCGCCCAGCATCTCCTCCGCTCCAGGCTCGGCCACCCCGTCTCACACACAGCTCCTCTGTACGCATTCAGTTTTGTCAGGCTCCACCCATAAGCAGCACAGGCCTCCTTACAGGTCTCTGCGCCTACCTCACAGAGGTGGCTAAAATTGTAAGCCAGTGTTTCAGTTTTTTTTTTTTTTTTTAAATGTATTTCATACAGGGTCTCGGCACAGCTCAGACTCATAGTGATCCTCCTGTTTTCAGCCTCTCTAGTGCTGGGATTATAGGCACATGCCACCACGCCCAATCTCTGTTGCTGGCTCAGCATGTGGTACTAGGGATCAAACCCCCATCCCTATGCTTGCCTAAGCAGGCACTTAAGTCCGCTGAGCTATCTTGCCGGCCCAGTCTTTCAGTTTTAAATCTGCGCTACAGCAAAAAGCGAATGGCCAATCGTGCCCCTCAGAAGCCTCTCCATGGCTTCCAACATCCATTGCATGGTCCTTGCCACTTTCTGAAGAGCTCTGGAGTCCTCTTTCCTAAGTGTTTCTGCCAGCTGTGATCAAAAATATGATGAACCTAGTTGCTGAGAGCCACCCGACAGAAAGGCAGCTGGCACAGACGTCTTGCTGTGTCCTCAAGACACCGCGTGATTTGTGGCTCTTCCCCAATGTCAAAATGACCGAAAAAGGAAAACAGTTTGAAATATTTAGGACATCAAAGCAGCCAGGAGGGCCAGCGAGATAGCTCAGTGGACTAAGCACCTGCTTAGGCAAGCACAGGGACCGGGGTTCCATCTCCAGCACCACCTGCCATGCTGGCCCCACACCCTGGCACGCTGAGCCAGTTACTAAGTCCGGGTGTGGTGGTGCACACCTGTAATCCCAACTCTGGGGAGGCTGAGACAGGAGTATCCCTACAAGTCCAAGCTGCGTAGTGTGACCCTGTAACAAATGAAGAAGGAGGAG